AATGTGCTATCAATGGTAAATAAAATCACAAAAAGATTGAATAATTAATTGCAAATTTTCAGTTAGTTTCTTTATTTGTAGAAGTGAAAACGCGTTTTGTTTGAATTTTTACTCTGCATTTTAGCATTCCACTCATTGCCGTTGTATATATACGCGTGGAATGATTTACTCCACATTCTTAGCTTGCATTTCCTTTTTCCAGAACCCACCCTCTCTTTCTTCTCTTTACTACATGATGCATTTTCAATAGAAAACATACATACATTCATACATATACAGAGAAAAAGTTTCGATCTTTTTAAGAACCATTTTTTTCTCTCTAGAAAAAATGGTTCTTGCAAGATTGAGGTTAATCAAGAACGTTGGATTTTTTCTCAGTCTTCTTTGTTTGCCGTTGATTTGTCTTGGGATTCGTTCATTTCCGAATTCTGGGGCGTCTGAATCGGGATTTAATAGCCTTTTTGGGTTTTCGGAGGCCCCGGATTACCGGAACGGCGTCGACTGTTCGTCGTCGGCGGCGCCTGCGACGACGATGGAGGGTCAGTTTGTGACGTCATGTGATCCGTCGCTGATTCACGTGGCGATGACTCTTGACTCGGAGTATCTACGCGGGTCGGTGGCGGCTGTGCATTCCGTTCTCCGTCACGCGTCTTGCCCGGAGCAGATTTTCTTCCATTTCATCGCCGCCGAGTTCGACTCAACCAGCCCGCGAATCCTGAACCGACTCATTCGATCCATTTTCCCTTCACTCAACTTCAAAGTCTACATATTTCGTGAAGACACAGTCATCAACTTAATCTCCTCCTCCATCCGGACAGCACTGGAGAACCCGTTAAACTACGCCCGGAACTATCTGGGCGACATTCTTGATCCATGTGTTAACCGGGTCATCTACTTGGACTCGGACCTTGTCCTAGTCGACGACATTCAAAAGCTCTGGAACACCCCCATCCCCGGATCCAAAGTAATCGGGGCCCCAGAATACTGCCGCGCCAATTTCACCAATTACTTCACGGACACGTTCTGGTCCGACCCGGTTCTCAGCCGGGTTTTCGGTTCAAGAAACCCGTGTTATTTCAACACCGGTGTAATGGTAATGGATTTAGAAAAATGGCGAAAAGGGAATTACCGGAAGAAAATCGAGAACTGGATGGAACTTCAGAGAAAGAAACGTATATATGAATTGGGTTCATTGCCTCCATTTTTGCTGGTTTTCGGTGGAAATGTGGAGCCCATTGATCACAGATGGAACCAGCATGGGTTAGGAGGAGACAATGTGAAAGGATCCTGTAGAGCCCTGCACCCTGGACCGGTGAGCCTGCTGCACTGGAGTGGTAAAGGGAAGCCATGGGTGAGGCTTGACGAGAACAAACCCTGTCCGTTGGATCATCTTTGGGCGCCGTATGATTTGTACAAGCGCCATCAGCAGGGGAAATTGAAGGTACAAACACAGCAGCAGCAGTTGTTGGGTTTGGGCTTATCTAGCGGTGGAAGTAGTACAAATTTGATTGAATTGTCCAGTTATTTCATCTGAATTTTTTTTTACAAAAAAATTTAATATTGGATTTTTAATTAGGTTTGTACAGATTGATTAATTTGATGGGGGATACATTCTATGGAATGAGTTGGAGTTCCAATTCCATTCATTTGGAACAATTTTTGGTTGCATTGGTGTATTGTATTTTACAATGGGAAATTTGGAGAAAATTATTATTCTTTCAACATTCATTGTATTGATTTCAATATTGTGTTATTTATTAGCTTTAGACAAGAAAATTATTGCGTTTTATCAAAGAAATTCCCTCGTTTATCGAAAATATGCTCTTAAGTTGTATTCAACAATCGTTCGTGTTTGGATTGTTCTTGTTTGACGTCCATTTTGAGAAAAAAATGAATTCTGAAATAGTGATCGATAGAAGAATGTATGGTTGAAAAATAATGAAAAGTTTTAGATTTATGTGTAATATTATTTTATTTGAAGAATATGTGATTGAAATGAAGAAAGAGAAAAAAATGAGAATGAGAAATTTTCATTGTAAGTTTCATATACTTTTTGAATGTACATGTTGATGCAAAAAAGGATTTTAATTAGTTTTGTTATTTAGCTGGACTTTGAAGTTTCATTCATTCACTTTAAAAATCATGCAATGTGAAGATTACTTGCTTGATTTGTATTGACTTTATCCAATATAGTCAATTAAAATATCTTCTATTTTCTTTTAAGTTATTTAGCTCATATTTGTTTCTAATTTTAATAAAAATTTGTACCGTTGTAATGGGAAGTAGTCGTTTTTTTTGACCAATTTGTTTCACAGTGAAATCCATTTGTTTGAAAAAAAAAAATCAAAAAATTCACTCTTCTGTTAAAATAATAGAAAACAAACGGGTCCTTATAAAAAGTGAAGAGTATTTATTTGAAAATGACTCGACGTCTACCAATATGATTAATTAAATATCGTGTAAACGTGTTGTGTAAGTTTTGTAGATCCTATTGAATTGGCAAATATTTTAACGTGAATTAAAGAAATAAAAGAAAAAAAATCTATATTTGATTTGGTGCAAGTTAATTGGCTTAAAAGTCGGGATTGGAAGATTACGTGTTTGCCTTGTTCTAAAGGTATGGATCCGAACTATTCAAAGAGTTTCTTAGACGAGGAAGTTACGTGAAAATGTTGTTCTTTTCGAATAGACAATTGACTTTCAAACATAGTTCCACATTTGCCAGCTAAATATTGTAAAGAAGCTTGCGACATGCCAAAAGCATATTCCAATGTGAACTATTTTTAGCCTTCATCTTGGTTCAACATTAAGAATTGAACACATAGCCTTGTTGCCATGGGCCATGAGAGCTTTCAAGGCAAAAAAAAAAAAAAACTAATCAATTTTGTTGAAGAACTATTCCGACGACATTGATACTATGCCTAGACGCAGGAAATTTTTACAATCAAGCCCTTGTCGGGTAGAAATTGAGCAAGATAAAAATGAATTTTTTGACTGTCGCTGGCCCTTGCTACCCTTTTTTTGACTTGCTTCTCACATTGGGACCCACTTATTGTGCCCTTTTTTTTATTTTCAAAGGATTTCGTTACTTGTACATCATAATGTACATCGAGGTGTACACTCCACTCACATGGGAGTGAGACCCGCTTAAATAACAAAATATTTTATGCAGTGGGTCCCACCCCCATGTGAGGGGAGTAACCCCTTATGTACAAAAATTAATGTACAAGTAGAATTTTCTATTTTCAAAATACATTTTTATCTCTTTTTTTTTTAATCACATATTTTTCAATAAAATAATATTACATGCAAATTCAAAATTTTTAACCACGCATTCTATATCAATCTACTATTATAAATTGTTGCCAGACATGGGCAAAAGTAAACACTTCAAAGTTAAGTGATCGTTATTTTGTGAGGATCTTGACTTTGTTTTCTTACAGAGTGTGATATGCTTAAGTGGAGAGATCGGCCTCCCATATTTCTAATAAGCGTTCTTACAATAAATCTCATTTGTCATGCAATGTATATAGTCTTGTGCAACGTTGTCAATCGTATTAAAACGTACCTTTTTTGTTCGTTCTTGGTTAAATGAGGTAATTGTATGTTGTTCAATGAATATAATCATCGGACTACAAAAGTGTCAACGTCAATCTACCCCCGCGATCGCGATGGTAGTGGTTCTAGATTGGTCCAAACGACAAACTCACGGCTGGTTTACTTTGACATATCGTTCATTCGTTGCAAATAAATAGTCAGATTCTTTGAGTCTCGCACGTGAAGTATTTTACACGTCTAATATGCAGAGTTACTTTTATCAAGAAATTAAAATGTTTGAATATTTATGAAACATCATGATTACGTATTCTAGGCTGCTAAATACTTAAATTAGGCAAGTGGGGAGTTTTTTTATGGGACTGCATCGGGAGGATTTTGGTTTGAATTCCTTGTTTGGCGTTTCATCACATGCATTTGTAGCCACTTGAACTATATAAAAAAACATACAATGCAGGAATAATTCAGAGAATAAGATTCTGATTATGATAATAATTTAATTGAGATTATTAGAAAACAACATAAATATTCCTGAATTTGTCTAGAAGAAACAAAGAAGCCCATATCGATTTTTCAAAATTTATTTTCAACCACACATTTTATTAATTTTTATCAAAATATATTAAAAATCTGATTTTTTTGTCTAAACTAAATAGGGGCTAAGATGCTGCTTTTTAACTTGTTTGAATAATTTTCTTGAATTGTTTTAACTAATTAGAAGAGTTTTTAGAGAAAACTGGTCTAAGATAACTTTGTCAGAAAACTTTTCTACACGAATTAAAGACAAAAACCCCCCGAACGGACCCTATAGTCGGATTTCTACATTTCTTTCTCATATATTGACAGCATTTTCATGCCAAATTTTAGTTTAAAACTGGTTAATCAATGAACGATGTGGTTTATCGAAATCTGCGGAATTTATTATGCTTTAATTATATTAAACACACTAGTTGAGGTCACTATTCACTAATACTGCAATTTTGAGTCGAGATCTCGAAATTTCGTTCACTCTTCAAAATATAATGTTAATTTTTGTGTACGTTTAGAGTGGTACGGGATAGATGATAAATAAAACTTGTGTTTGATTTTGCTAAAAATCAGATTTAGATTTTGAAAAAAATAAATAATAAAGCATGTGGTTAAAAAGTTGACAAAAATTATGGGTTCCATAAAATTGCGTGATTAAAATTAATTGTTGTTAACGTACATTTTTATTAATTTTTTTAACTAAATCAGACAAGACTTAGTCAAGAATCCAACATTACGTAGGCAAAATATTATACGAAATGTGAAAGTTGGCATGTCATTTTATGTGCAAACCTAAATTGTCTATTCAATGCAAATTGCCCGACCAAACCCTAACCAAACTTTATTTATTAGAAATAAATAAATCCATAAAGAACAAGAAAAAATATTAACGTTCTTAAAAGTAACATGTTATAAAGTTACCCACCAAGGTTCTTCCTAATCCTCATGACATCTTGGCCATTTACCTTAAACCCCTTCTTCAAAATTTCATCCGGCATTGATGGCTTCGACATGAACGTGGCCATGGATGAAATTTGGGCACCAGGGTTCTGGCTACTTAGCCCAGAAATAGCCAGTGCTGTCTTGACGGGGTCGATATTGTACGCAAAATGTATCAAACCTTTTGGAAACACAAAGCAATCACCAGCACGTAATTGTTGTGTATACAAACGATTAGTCGTGTCTACAAAGCCAACTAGAAGTGAACCCTTGAGAAGAATTGTGACTTCTGATGCCCTTGGGTGAGAATGGGGTGGGATTAGACCATTAGCGGCAATGTCAACTCGGGCCATGACTAAGCCCAAAGTGTTTAACCCGGGTAGATTATTTATGTTAGTAAGAGTAACATTAAATCCAAATTGATTCCCAGTATCACCACATTTGGACAATGCTGAAGTAGAAAAATGTGAAGCTAACGCAAGTCTTGGATTGATGCATGGTTGCCCATTATGGAACATATTGTGGGTATTTCTTGTTTCTGCAACACAATAATCTTGAAGCGGATCGGCGTCGGGTTTGACGAAGTTTAGAACAGAAATTATGCCCAAGAAAAGTTGGGGCAACACATAATTGATTTTCATGTTGAATTTAATGACCTTAACCATGAAAATCAAAGGCAAAAATTAGGATTTGATACCTTAATTTTTTTTCAAGTAAGTCACATGTGTGTGATAACTTATATATAGTGCTTGTTGTTAGGTGAGGTTGAGCAATTTTATATCCACTCATGAGTGTTTGAGTAGCTTAAGAGCATTAGAAGTGGAGAAAAGAAGGCAAGTCATGGTGGTGAGATTGACATAAAAACAAAAAAATGTAAAAGACAAAATGAGAAGAAGATAATGGGGCCATTTCATGGGATGATAATCTTTTTTTTTAATTTGACTGGCCATTTACTTAAGAAAGAATAAAAATATTTGGTGGGTTGTTAATTTTATTCAATTTTAACGTAGGTTTAACCAAGTAACTTTATTGCTTGCTTGACATAGTACAACAACGGGAGATGCCAACTAGGGTGTCATGGTACAACAACAAAATGCACCTTATTTCTAATAAACCTTGGCTTGCTACATTAATATTTTCTTCATTGTGACATCTTATTCATTCGTTGCTGTAACTATTGGCGACGCCCTAACGAAATGTGTATTATCCAATTAGGTAATTAAAATAAAATCAAATGATAAATAAGTAACTCAGATATGACAAAATAAAGTCAAACGAGCCACAGTAAACCTTCATAATGATTTCTAGAAACCTTTTGCACTGTCAAGAAAAGTGCTGTTTTGTGATTGTAACTATAGAACTAATGCACCTTATGCCACTTTCAAAATGGTTATTGGATTGTGGCCCATTAATGATATTACTGATATCTGATCTTCTAAGCTAAACTTGAGATTTTGCATAAAGCATTTATTTTTTTTATTTTATTTTATTGTGATTCTAAGTTTTTTTTTTCGTTTTTTTTTTTGTTATAAGATCATAATTGAATATATAATTTATATTAAAATTTGCCACACGTTTAGATGTGTTCTTTACATTTTAAAAATAAGTAAACACATAATTTAAAAAATTTATATTTTATACTAACAAAATAATAAGAGGGTGTTTGGTGAGAATTAAAATTAGATTTTTAGTAGATTGTGGTAGAAGTTTTTGAAATACGTGATTGAAAAGTTGTGGGGCCCATGAAAGATGTAGTTAATATTGATTGTTTGACTTGACTTAGATTAAAATCTGATTTTAATCATAAACAAACATGACCTATATATATATACAGAAATGATCTAATGAGCACCGGTGCTCATCTTATCTTAAGCACCGATGAGTTGGCACATTAATTCATTGGTGGATAAAAGCACAATTGAATATCTTATATGAACCTTTAACAATGTGTTACTTTTTGCAAAAAGATGAGGAGGACTAATTCTAAAATCATGTAATATTTTTGCATCTCGTATAGAGCTATCGTGAGAATAGTATAGTGTGCCCTTACTTCTTCATATCAGTCCATTGCCTGGATTGACATATTAGTAGATGTTATGCACTGCTTTTCCTGAAGTTTACATTTGATCATAAAAATTGATTCTCATGGTAAGGTCTACTCAAGTAGGGGAGTAGCTCTTCGACCATGTTCGATATTGATAATAGCATTTACATGGGCACTCGCAAAATATTTTGATAATTTAAAACCATGCGTACTCCTCTTCTTCCTTAGTGATTCATAATATCCATTGTCCATCTTAAATCTTTAACTCACATTGGTCATGACAATTTTACAATGTGAACAATACATTTCTCACGCATTTACTTTACACAATTTCAAAAATACAAAAACAAGTTCCCAATTTCAAAAATTAGGTTTTTTAAAATTCTATTTATGAAATAATGAATTATTAAATCAATTTATTATTAAATATTTAATTCTAATAGAATATAATT